GATTCTATAACCATGATGTTCATCTCATTAGAATCACCACTTCCTTCATCTAATTCAATAGCATCTTCAACCCTTACTTCAACCACATCATATTTTGGAAAAAGATAGCACCAATAGTTGGGGTTCATGCATTTTCACTAATTACTACTATTTTAGCAAACATTATCTCTAACTCTGCTGTATTTTATATTCCATTATGCTTAAACTTGGCATATTCTTTATTCTCCCTCAATAATTAAGTTAATATAAGATATAATAAATTATGAATTGAAAGTTAAAATTAGCATATTAACATTTAAAAATTTAAAATCATCACTAACAACAAAATAGGACTAATCACTTTCGATACGGCCCATTGTTGAGAAGTAGCATCAATGATACCTTTTCATGGTTCCAACCTAAACTTATTTCTTGTTTTAAAAGTTGATTCCACAAAACCTAATCACTTTTTACTACAATACAAAATCCCAACCAAATAACCTATTTAGGCATAGAATTTTGGATGATTCAACCTATAGACAAATTGTATAGCTAATTTTCAACTTTGTCAAAGCATAAAAATATTTGTAGCAATTACAATTTTATAATAAAGTTAGTAGCTATAAAAAATGCTAAGATCATAGCTACTATAGTATATAACTACTTATTGTAAACTAACTATAGCAATTCAATTTATCAAAAAATTAATTAGCAATTAACAAAAATAGATTAAAGAAGAATTCATTTTAATGAAAATAGTTTTGACAGAAAAAGAGAAAAATAAAGGAAGCAGTGTTCTAGTTGCTCTTATTAATAGAAAAAGGGAAGGAGATCTGAAAGGGCTAGAGGTTTTCTACTTTTTGCTGAAAATAAAGGAAGCAGTGTCATTTTATTGCTAGAATAATGAAGAAAAAGGAAAATGATTAATGGTTACTAGAATTGAACTTTACATCTTAAATGGTTTGCTCAAGATAAGTAACTAACTACAGCATGAGAACATTTACACAACAGCCAAAAGAGAACATTATATGCACCTGACAAAAAAAAAAAAAAAAAAGAACCTTATTTGCTTCATAATTCCATTATATGACTGAAACCATTCTCCGAAGAGACAAACATCTTTTAACATCCTAATCAACGTACAACCCTTCTTTTTATTTTTCCACAAAAGCTAGTAACCCAATTAAAAAACAACAATTGGGAGAATCTACATTTAATGTATATAACTATAATTAAGCATCTGATGATCATTGACTTCAAGCTATTCAACCTATTCAACCTATGTTTCTTTTGGCATCATCTACATTTTCTTCTTTATTTTGCATGTAAAATCCAAATCATCATAAAAGCAACTACATTTACTACACAATTTGGAATAAGTGTCATTCAACATATTAATAAAAATGGCCTCGTTTTGTTAAAAAAAAAAAAGGATTTTGCTTTATGGTTATCCCTCTCAACCCAATAGTAGAACTAATATTTTTTCTCAAACCAATAAGCAATGCCAATTGGTTTTAATAGGATGCAATTGAGAATTGTCAATAAAAAATAACAATGAGAAGCCTTTTGTTGATGATTTCTCCTTCCCTTCCATTATTTCACATAGACAATGCAATATTTGATAGAAAGAATATACCTAAGACTAAGAACGTAGAAGGTAAATCTACAAGACAAAATTAGGTCACGTGTGTGCCTAGAAAATTACTTGGTAACAACCGGAATAGGCAAGGGAACAGTAAAAATGTGACCTATGCTTGCTTCAGCTTGAAAGACAAAGTAGAGAAGATGGCATGAAGATTGATGAACAGGAAAAAAACCAAGAAATTCACATGGGAATTGAAAGCAAAAGCCATGCTTTATAGAAAGCAAAAAGGGGGAAAAAGATGTAGTAATAAAACCCACAATCTAGAAGATTTAAGTTTGGGGTAAGGATGTTGGAATTGGGATCTGGTGCAATTGTGTGGTAGATGGAAGATGGGTAAAGAGGAGCAATCAGGAGGTAGAGTAGAGAGGAGCAATCGAGAGGCAGATGGAGTTGCAAAATTAGGAATTTTTAACAATATATATAGTGGTTTAATCTTAATTTTGTTAAAATATGAGGATAAAATAGGTATAATGGATAGTTTTCATTAAAAGGAAGTCAGAAACACGCACAAAAACTAGGATTTCTTGCTTCTTTCATTTTCAAATGGTGGAAGCTGGCTTTAGCTTTTCATCGGTTGAAGTTAATTTCAAAAGTTTGGATGTTTGGTGTAGCTGAAGCTTTTGGACTTCAAAAACACTTATCACTAGTTACACCAAACATGCATGTAATGACCTTAGCTTCTTGGCTTCTTTAGAGTGTTAAATATCTATTCTGCGCTTGAAGGGCGAGAGGGGGCTTTGGAATTTTCTCATACTCGACTCATATTTTCCTAAAGTCCTACAAACCTAAAGCCCAAAAGTAAAAGGGGCTGGTTGATCTGGTTTGGATTTTAGATGTGGGTTTGTTAGAGGCCCACCAGGTTTTCAGGCCAGGCTTCCAAAATCTTCACATTGCAACTTGCAAACCCAATCCCACGCTGTGTCAATTGTTTGCTATAAATAATGTGATTGGGAATTGGGAGAGTTTTTCTTTTACAAATATTTGTGAATAATTTATCAATAATTTATTAGTTTGAATAAAAAATTTTGATTTTTTTTTAAAAAATATTGAGTTTGAGTCTTATAAATGGAAAAATAAACGTGAGAAGAGCTTCTCTTATAAGATTCAACTAATGTGACTTTTAAATACCGCAAATTAACAAAAAAAATTTGCAAGTATTTTTCCCTTTCTTAGGTTCGAAAATTTTTTAAGAGAAATTTTGCTTCTATGTTTTAACATTTTAAAATGCTTATAAATAAATTTCAAAGAAAAATAAAAGAAAAATAAAAGAAAAGAAAAACAGAAGTTCGGCTGGCGTTTGCAGACAGGAGGCTGCCTTCTTGGACAAAAGCGGTAATAATGGCAAGGGAGCCATTATTGCCACTTGCTACTTGGTGTTGTTATTCTCACACGAAAAATTTGTTATGGTGATATAAATTTAACTTTCATTTTTGTTTTAAATGTTAGTCATAGTGTTTGAGCAGATGTTATCGAACTAATATTAACCTTTTAACTCATAAATATTAGTTATATAATTAAAAACTATTAATTAACAATTATAACTATTAATCATTTAATTGATACTAATAATTAAACTAAACTAAATTAATATTCTTTTAGAAAAAATGTATATCAGTCTACATTTTAAAAAAAATTAAAATTTCAACTTTAAAAAGATATTTTTTTCATTTAATTAAAATTTAATTTTAAATTTAAAAATTCATCCAATTAATTGTTGATATCAAAATTTAAAAATTAATTATATATTTTAATATAATTAGTGTTTAAATCAATGTATCAACATTTAATAAAATGAATTTTTAAATTTTAATTAAATAAAATAA